TGCTGTTCTCCACTCCCTGCCTATTTCAGCTTGGGTTCCTTTGGAGATCTTCAAATGTGTTAATTATCTCAGTATCTTTATTGCATGGGCTGACTGGGACTTACGCATTTGATATTTTTATTTTTTTGATGTTTCTGTGCTAATCTCTTATCTAGTTTTTTTCTGTCCTCTGTTCTCTATGTTCAGCCTTTTTGCATGTTCATTTTTTATTTTGAGGGCATTTTCCATTGTATTAATCATTTCCAATAAGGTAGCTGTAATCTATGTGTTGCATTTGAAGCTTAGTGTTGAACTATGGGCTTCAGAAGACCCAGTTTTTGTGTCCCCAGTGCTTGTACCTCCCACTCCAGCAAAGAGCAGTGCTTTTCCCATAGGCAGTTCAGCGGAGTGAAAAATGAATAAATAACATTTGATATTGATGTAATAATTCAGTAGTGAATAACATGCTAGACCATAATATTCAACTTTTTGAAAAGATGTATTTGGAATACCCTGCACTTTTATCAGGAAATATGGATCTTAAAGTCCTTGGAGCATGATATGAAATGAATGGTAACTATGGATTTTCAAGATATTAGTACCAGGAGTATCATTGGTAGCCTATGGGAGGAGAGAGGTGCCAAAGCTCTAAGAGGGGTCTTCACATACCATCTGGAGTAAAAGATGGCTTTGGCAACTTGGTAAAAAACGAAGGAATTAGGAGCATGTGTGGGTGTGTGGGGAGTAAGAACTCTTTAGTTGATGACAAAGCTGGGCACGGTTCCCTTGCTCTACATAGCTTCAGAACCCCCTCACTGAATGGCCAAACACAAAAACTTCCAGAGCTATGTCAAGGTAATCAGGAGTGGAGTAATCCTGCCCGTTGGCTTCCCCCAAATGTTGACATGGCCCCAGATTATATCAGAGAAGAGCTATTAAGTTTGTGCTTGAAGGGCCCTACCCTGCCTCCTCCCTTGGCCTTTGCATCAGTGACTGAGGAGATAAGAATTCTGTATCCTAGAGCAGCCCTTGGGAGAATCCATGTATTTGCCAGAAAAGAAAAAGACAGTCTAAGGGCCCAGGGATTTAGCTCAGTGGTGCCTCCGCCTGTCTCACAAGAAAAAGACAATCTAGAGATTTTAGCTTAATAAAAGGATTAGTAAGGGTCTCCTTCAATGGCCATCTACGTTTGAGGCTGTTTATAATTTTATTTTATTTTTTTTAAATAGTCATATTTTACATATATTTTCAGAATTGTTCTCTATGTAAAAGTTAGGCATATATATGTCATATATATTATATATATATATAACTTCATTTTTTCAAAATTAGATTCTCTTTTAAGGGTCTACTCTGTAAAATGAAGGTGATAAGATTAAGGAAAAGCAAAGTTTTTTTTCTTGGCTATTTTGATATCATGGTGGCTTTGGATATTGTCACGCTTTAAAAATATATGGGGATTTTATTTTGCTTTGGAATGTTATGTGTTTTATGTTTCATTTCTTTAGTCATTGCAGTCTAATGCTAAAGGTTGCAAATTCCTGTTCTAGCTGATATGTTTCGGATTACTCATAGGTCTTTGAGAACTTTGGAAGCTGTATAATTTCCTCCTGGGTATACACCAAAATTAATGAGCTAAGAATTGGAGTACTGACTATCCAGTGTTATTTCAACTACAGAGTCAAGTTGCAGGAAAAGTGGGGCACATTGAAAAGAGTCCCTTGTGATGTGACACTGGGGTGCAGATGCCCCGTGATTCCAGCAGGTTACATAATTGGGCATCAGTGTACTAAATCACAACACCAATGAGGACAGTGTTGCTGCCCAGAAGTGTCTAAATCTGGACAGGCCACCTTTTCCTCCTTACTGCTTCTTTCATGACCAGTAACAAAGTCCCTACAAGAAAATTCCGTTCACCCTCGTACACTTAAGAGGACATAATTACATCTGTAAATTCTTCAGCATTGTGTTCCATAGTAAGCTCCTTCAGATGGTTTCTGTATTCATATTTCAGGGAGCTTGAGTCAGATCATTTCCCTGTCACTACTAACCTGGAAAATACCAGCTATCTTTAAGCAGAGATTCAAAACTTGCCAACCTAAGGAATGGACAGGCATTGTGGCTTTTTCAGCTTTGGGGAGTTATTTGATTTTCTTATGATTTAAAAAAAATCTTATAATTTAAAGCCACTACTTTCTTTGGCCAAATGTCTAGAGAGTCTACAACTATAGATTTAATAAATTTTGCGCAAGCGCAAGGACCCGAGTTCAATCCCGGGTACCAAAAAAAAAAAAAGGAATAAATTTAGGTGCTCACTGAAAAACTAGTAGCCAGACATGATCAAGATGAACGATCTGAGATTTGTCTTCTTAGATTTATGACTTGGGCAGTGATTCAGAAACAAAGTTCCAAAACTTATCCCTAATTTGAAAACTACTTTAAAATGGTTCTTAGCAGGGCATAGGTAGATGATGCTATGGGCTGAGGGTGTAGCTTAGTGGGGAGTACATGCTTTGCATATATAAGGACCTGGATTTGATCCCCAGCACAAGAGAGAGAGAGAGATTGTGAGAGATTGGTCAGATAATCCCTACACCAAATGATACAGGGATGATGAAATAGGACCTCCAAATGATATAAGAGAAATACTATAACTCCCAACCTGTTAGATGTCTGATATGCAGAGTTCCTATTCTCTAAAATGGAAGAATGAATTCTAGGAACAATGCAGGTTACAAGTAGGAAATATTTATTGAGAGGATAGCTCCTGAGAGGCAGGAGGCATCTCAAATGGGTAGCCATGGACCCCACGTTACAGAGAAGTTTTATAGAGCAAAACTCCATGGGTACAACATGGGTTAAAGCTATGATCAGCCAGTAAAGTTACAAGTATAGTCATCTAGGTAATAATGGCCCAGTGGGGAAACAAGTCACATAACAAGTGTATGTGGAGAGAACAAAGACTTTTTCTAGGAAATGATGGGTCCACAAGTCTTGGTCACTGGAGTGACTGATATTTATCTAGATGTCATTAGGCCAAGTGTTACCCCTTATCTTGTCCTTTGGGGAAGTATGCAGGCTTGGTCATTTCTTCTTTATCTTGAGGCTTGGTCTCCAACGGATGCATCTCCGGCCACCATTGTAATGTGTTTTACCTTTGTTCTGACTCTCTGGAGAGCCTCTCTGAGTACCTATAATATTTCTATGTAACTTAGCTGTCTATAATACTGTCTCTTAGAGGTTATTGTGATGTGTGAATGAGATTGTGTTTGTTTATATAATTAAGCTCTCAATGGTTTCTGTCTTCCACTAGAGAATCCAATGGACCAATACTTCTTAGATATATAAGGCAAATAACAATAAAATAAAATATTAATTGATATGGATTCCAAAATAAATTCAAATATAATAACATATAATTCTATGATATTTCACTTCATACTCCCTGAAGTTCACATCAATGAATAAGTTGATAAAGTCAAAATATAATTTAGGGCAGGTGAATATCTGGAGTTTTTCAACCAAATACTCTCAGAGATGTTATTTTCATTTGTTTACTTTTTTGTGGTACTGAGTGTTTACTTTTATTTACATTTAAGGTTTATGTTAACAGAATGTTGCTTGGGGAACCAAAAGTTTGAAACCACTGATATTTGTATGTGTCAGGATAGTAAATTGGGTGGTGGATATGGATTTACAGAATTGAGTGTTACGCAATTTTGACCTACAGATTTAAGTGTTAAAACTACTTCTTTTTTGTGTGATTGTTGGTTTCTATAGAGAACAAGAACACTATAGAATGACGTGAAAATATTAAAAAGAAAATCAATTTAAAACATCCAGTCAGAAATTTGAAATATTTTAAAAAATCAGTAATTTTACTAGAATGACCAAAATATAATTATACTTAGAAACACTCCATCCTCCACATTCCCACTCCATTTATAAACTCTCTACCAGGAAATCAGATGAGTTGTAGTGGAACTCCCATTTGAACTATGCTGGTGTGTGTAGGATTAGCTAGGGGTTTAGAGAACTTAATCCATTTTCTGTATTATTCTCTTTCTCCACGCTAGAGGGCAGCAGTAATGCACAGGGAACAGGAAATTGTTCAAGCTCTAGCAAGATTCTCAGCAAGACAAAGAACAAAACACCTACAAAGTACTTCAGACTTCCAGTTATTAGAGGGTCAGCTTCCTTTCCTCCATTCTTAAATATGCATAGAATTTTGACTAACTCCCTTTGAATTTGTAAAATATATCTGTTGGTTAGGCCAAACATACTAATTTAAAATATGTCATGAAGATATCTCTGAAAAGGAATTTATGTAAAAGTTAAATGTTTTAGTTGTTAATTGCTGTGTGATAAACTACTCCAAAATTCAGAGAGTTTATCCTCTGTGTTCTAGTGATTGACCAGGCACAGCTGCTCAATTCTTTCTTTTGTTCCTCGTGATATTGGCTGGGTCTGTGGTCATCTGAGAGCGCAAATGGTCCAGAAAGTCCAAAATGGCCTAGTCGGGTGGCTGGCACTTAGTGCTGACTGTCAGCTGGGTGCTCAGCAAGGACTGGTAACCAGATCACCCGGTTCTCCTTCACTGTGGCTTCTTTATGTGGTTTGAATATCTCACAACATGGTAGTTGGGTAACAAATGGAGTATCCCCAAAAAATGAGAATTCCAGAAGGAAGGAAGCAGAAATTTCCAGTTGTAGGCATCATTTCTAGCACCTTCTTGGTCAAAGCAATTACAAAATCAGCCCAAATTCAAGGACTGGAAAATAAGCTCTACCTCTTGATGTGAGGGGCAGTCTGTGTATACAAGGAGGGGAGAATTTGTTGAACATTGTTCTTTGGAGATCACTACATGAGGGGTTAAGAAAAAGCCTACTGCTGACTTACATTAGAGGTAAATCATGCGGGATGCAGAGGAACATTTCTTCATTTAATAAATGGCATTGCTTGTAAACATAGTACTTTAAGAATTAAGATGTACAAAAGTCATCTCTATGTTCTTCTTCCAGGATCTGTTATACAAAGCAGTAAAAATGGCCAGAGGATCAGTGTCTGATGAGGAAATGATGGAGCTCAGAGAGGCTTTTGCCAAAGTTGGTAAGTAGACCTGGTATCTCAGCTACACAGTTCTCTCCTCTAGTGACAGATTCAGTGAAATGGTAAGCAAAATAGCAACAGTAACAGGAGACCACAGTGACAGTGACAAGGGAGCTGTTTTGAAAGTTATGCTTTGAGAAAACGACTTTATCAAAACATGGACTATGGACCCTTTTCCACCCATGACTTTTTCCTGGAGTTCACCCCTAAGTCTCATCCTTGGTATATTGTCTGCTTCCATTCTTTTCCCTTTTTTTGGTACCAGGGATCGAACTCAGGGCTTTGCCCTTGCAACCAGGCGGTGACACCACTGAGCTAAATCCCCGGCCCTCCATTCTTTTCCTTTAATACTATGACGTACTTTGTTACCCTTTATCACTGAGGCTGTGGCTTATTTGAGAGTTTCTATAAGAATTCTCTAGGTTCTATTGCCAGAACCTCTTTTTTAAAATTATGGCTCTTTTACTGTAGGTGTTGGAAGTGATGCTTGGGCCTGTATCTAGTAGCAGCAGGCCTCTTATGAGATTTTTGACCCTTTCAGAGCCCTTGAACAGTTGCTCCCCCTATCCTTCACCCAGCCTTCCCTGACCTCTTTAAGAACTATCCCTGAATTGCTCTGAAGCCCCACTTTGCTTCTGCATTACAGATACAGATGGCAATGGGTACATCAGCTGCAATGAGTTGAATGACTTGTTCAAGGCTGCCTGCTTGCCACTGCCTGGGTACAGAATAAGAGAGATCACAGAAAATCTGATGGCTACCGGTGATCTGGACAAAGATGGGAGGATCAGCTTTGATGAGTTTATCAAGGTGAATATGATCCAGAATTCAAAGAGATACATTTGAAACTTGCACTTTAATTCAGTTTCAAAAATATCCAGGAGACATTACTACCTTCCTTCCTTCATCATTATGCACTTTCTTTTGTGATTTTCTGTGCTGCTGCTTGGTTTCTAAAACTACATTATATTTTTGTAGGTTTTCCATGGCCTGAAAAGCACAGAGGTTGCCAAGACATTTAGAAAAGCAATCAATAAGAAGGAGGGCATTTGTGCAATTGGTGGTACCTCAGAGCAGTCTAGTGTTGGCACCCAGCATTCCTACTCAGGTAAGCTGTGCTAATGGTTGGGGACTGTGGAGAAGATGGTGTTGGGGTGTTGAGAGATTTGAGGATTGGAGAGGGCAATGTGTGGAAAGGACCCATGTCTTCTGGGGTTACAGATTCTGAACTTGAGACTCAAACCTAAAGGGTGAAAATAAATGCAGAAGAGCATGACTATGGACTCCCAGCTATTTTCCTGTAAGTGAGCTGGTTCCAGGGCTGTAAAATAGGAGCAGTCCGAGCTTCAGTAGGGCCCAATACTAAATGGTATCATCAACGTTTTAAAAAATACCTTAAAGGCTGCAATAATCCTATTGTAAATTGCATGGACAAAATTAGCTACTTCTCATATCTTCAATATAATGATTTTTTTTTTGGTACCAGGGATCGAACTCAGGACCTTGCGCTTGTGAGGCAGGCGGAAGCACCACTGAGCTAAATCCCTAGCCCATATATAATGATTATTTTTAATGCCTACTGAGTAATCAAAAAATTGTGTTTTCATTGATTTGCAAGAAAGTAGTATATTTATTCTGGAGGCTGCCGTCCAACATCCTCAATGGAAACGTCTAATAATCCAAACAGTACAGTTGACCAACATTTCCCAAATTGAGTTCTCTAAAACATTAGTTAATCAGTTTGTGGTTAAATATTGCCTGTAGTTGCTAGGACGAAGTTTAGTCTTTTGGCTACACAGTGTTTCCCAAATTTTTGTGAGTCAGAATTCCTCGGACTCATATTTGTTTTTGTGACACACAATTTGGAAAATGCAGTGCTAGAATATAAGGCATTATTAGAAGTTTTACTAGAACTTTAAAATAAACTTATAGCAGCTCTACTGATAGGAAAGAAAAATTATATCACAAATGATTTCATTTCACAGCAATTTCATTATAGTTACATAAAGAAGCTCAGAGATATTATAAGGATTGTCCATGATCAATGCAAGATTTAAATCAGCAGGGCTATAGGCAGAACCCCAAGTTTTATCCTATAAGCATTAGGCCACATTTATATTTAAATTATAACTATATAAATATTTTTATTATTTTTATATATGAAAATATATAAATGTATATTTGCTTCTAACTATAATATATATGCATTTTTATTATTGTGTTCTAAATCTGCTTGGCATGTTTTATGACTTGGAATGAACATAACTTTTGTGCCTTTTTCCCAAGTGATCTGAGATGTTTAAATGTCAATAAATAATGAGACAGCTGGGCCAGGGATTTAGCTCAGTGGTTCCGTCGCCTGCCTCGCAAGCACAAGGACCCGAGTTCGATCCCTGGTACCAAAAAAGAAAGAAAGAAAGAAAGAAAGAAAGAAAGAAAGAAAGAAAGAAAGAAAGAAACAAACAGTAAGAGAGTGGGCTGGGTAATCTTATAATGTCTCTTCTCAGCTTGAGAACCTGAGGTCCTTGTGGATAATGTTGTTTTTATCACATTTTCACCTTGCAAGTAAATCATTTTAATCATTTACTTGCAGAGGAAGAAAAGTACGCCTTTGTCAACTGGATAAACAAAGCCCTGGAAAATGATCCTGATTGTCAGCATGTCATCCCAATGAATCCAAACACCAATGATCTTTTTAATGCTGTTGGGGATGGCATTGTCCTTTGGTAAATAAAACTTCCTTCTTGGTTTCCAAATAACTGCCCATTTTGTGCAATGTCAATAATTCACTGTGTACATCCTAGGCCCGCTTCCTTTGGTGCTCAGCTGTACCAGGAATGGTTTTGTGGACTTTCATTTGGCCAGGTCCAAGAAAGCAAACCAGTCTCAGAAGCAATTTATAATGAAAAATATAAAACTGCTATTTCTTGGATAGCGAAGAGGGGTCCACAGTATAGACATAAGCACACACATAGAGATCCAGTAATATAGTCAGAAGCTTTCAGAGGAATAGCTTCTCCACTACCATGAGAATAAAACAACCACAAAAATAATCAATATGAATGGGTGAGGCCACCAGCAAAAACAACTCTCACCCCCATGCACCCTGCCTGCATCTGTGGCTTTGCCTTTTATTTTCCTTTTTAAGAATGGCCTTCTCTACCCTCTCCTTCTATGCAGATTCACCATGACATTTTCTGGTCTAACCCATCTTCGAGTAATGGGATTCTTAGAGAACATATTATCTGTAATACTTTGAGAACTACAGCATCATAATGGTCTGCTTTGGACTGTTACATAGCTTTTTCTGTAATTGGATTTGAAGCTTTTTCAAGGAACGAGATACAAGATATGTGTTTTGTCTCCCTTTCCCCTTCACCATCTCCCAAAGCTTCACTAGTTTAGTAAGAGTTTCATATTTCTCAAATGATGATTTTAGGAGATTGTTTTGCTTTAGTTGTAGTACAGTGCCTTTTATTTAAATATGGGTATACATGAGTATGAACATACACAAGCAAAATTATGGAAATATATTTTTAAAAATCAGTCATACACAAAATGGTAGTTGCTTAACAATTGTTGGGAAAAACTGTTAATGCCTATTTCTCTTCTCATTAAATGGGAATAGTCATATTCACCATTTTTATCTTCCTGAGTTTTAAAATTTTTTTATATTTTTTTCGGTACCAGGGATCCAATTCAGGACCTTGTGTTTGCGAGCCAGGTGCAGTGCCACTGAGCTAAATCCCTGGCCCCTGGTTATTTGTTTCTTTAAATAAGATGAAGGTGACCTAAGGTGATTTATTTTTTAGGCCCTGTTTTACAAACTTGGGTAGAATCAGTTTTTCATAAATAATTGCTTGCTTTGGATATCTGATCAGTACATTAGATACTTACATGAAGGAACTGATAAAGCTCTGATTGAATAATGACTAGAGAAGGATATGAAAAAGCCATTGGATGATAAGTTAAAGGTACTGATCAGGTATCAAATCAAAAGGTAGGCATTATAAAAGCTCAGAAGTGTATTAACAGTATTAATAGATACAGTTTTCATGGCTAGGAAATTAGAAGCATTCATGGGGGATTTGCTTTGCTTATCCACCTAGAATATCCTAACATGCTAAGGGAACTAGGATACTTTTGCAGCTTTTTAAGTGAGCGAATGAAGTGGGATCCTCATTTCTTACCTCAATGTATTACTATGGCTTCAGAGACATTCACTTTTCTTACAGATAGTTTGAATCTGGTCAAAATCTCATGGCTGATTTTATGTCTAAACACTGACTACACGATTATGTTGCTGATACATTCAATTATAATGCTGCTAGAATTTGAACTCAATGGTACTGGGCTTTGTTACTCAGAATCATGTTTTCTTTCATTTCATTGTTTATCTTTCAGTAAAATGATCAATCTGTCAGTGCCAGACACAATTGATGAAAGAACAATCAACAAAAAGAAACTCACCCCTTTCACTGTTCAGGTATGTCTCCCCACCATTATCTTAGAGTAGGATTAGCTTGGAAGCAATGAATACTATCACTACTGAACCAGCTTTCTGCAGGAGTTCAGACATTCCCAAATCCAGGCTTCAGGCTGGTGACTTGCTCTAACTAGTGGGAATGGAAGGACACGTTTCTGTATGGTCTTTTACTAATATAGCAGATAAGAGAGGAGGAGGGTGTGGTGTTAATAGTTAGGTGGTCACTTAGGAATAAAATTTACACTGCCTGAAGTTTTGACTCAAACTTTCCCTAGCAATTTATCTTTGAGTTGATGCCAAATACGTAACATTTAGCTGAAAAGATGAGCCTTTCTAAGAAGTGGGGGGTAAAAACCGGGAAGTTCTCTGGCAGCCTTCACAGCAATACTGGCCATAGCCACAAGTATAATAAATATAACTTGCTTTTATTCCTTCAGTTTGCTGATTAACTGGAAGAATAACCAGCAGAAAGCAAGCTGTGTATATATCTTATGTTCCAATATTTTAGGATCATAATTCCCTTGCTCAGAAACCATATCTTACTTCCCAAATCACGAACAGATCAGTATCTCCTGTTTCAGTTTAAGTGACCCTCTGTGCTTTTTAAATGGAAGTAGTGACCAAATTGAGAACAGTGATTAAACAAATAGGGAAGCAGATCATGTTAAGTTTACTCATAATGTTGACCATAAGTAGAAATAGCATTTTTTTTTCATTCACTATTTGAACAGTAGGGTAAGAATCCTCAATTCTGATAGCCTTTGTTTTATTTTTGTCATAAAAAATTCAATACATCTCTGACACAGAAATCTCCTTTATGGATCTTAAAATAGTGTATAGACTCCCGCTGCCTGCTTCGCAAGCATAAGGTCCCAAGTTTGACCCCCAGTACCAAAAAAAACGAAACAAATAGCATATAGACTCTAGATTGAAAACTTTATTGATTCTATTCCAACTGTGTGTGAATTACATACATGCACTGTTGTTAGTCATAGGAACCTATAATCTGTGTGTGTGTGTGTGTGTGTGTGTATTCAAGTTTCCTAGGTGTAATGGATATTCAATAAGTTGTCTTATTGAAAACTTCATCTTTTCCAGGAATTTGGTTTTTATCTTTTTCTGTAATTCCTGTAATACCCAATCTGCAAGTCAAAAAGCTATTCTGTTGCTCTTTTATGACCTCAATTTATATCAACTAAAGATAGCCAGTGACAGGACAATGACTTCCCTCAAAGGTGCCCCTTTCTTTCTGCCATTAGCCAGAATTAGGAAGCACTCAGTGTGTAGTCTTCTTCACAAAGCCAGATGAACACAGAAATGACTCATTAATTTCCTGCTGACCAGGAAGGGCCTTCCACTAAGAGTGCTGATTTCACTACATAGTCACTGTGTAAGCTCTATGCCTCAGTTACAGGATTTTCTCTTATTATGGTATTTTTCACTGCTTTTCCTCAGTGTTAAAGTTAATGAAGACCATACCATAGGCCTGTGAATATTCTGAAAAGAACATTGCTGTATGCAATTAGTGGTCATCATCTGCCATCTGCAAAGTGACAGAACCAAACTTACATACTTTCCTCCCTCAGGAAAATTTGAACTTGGCTCTGAACTCTGCCTCAGCCATCGGGTGCCATGTGGTTAACATAGGGGCTGAGGACCTGAAGGAGGGGAAGCCATATCTGGTCTTGGGACTTTTGTGGCAAGTCATCAAGATTGGGTTGTTTGCTGACATTGAGCTAAGCAGAAATGAAGGTAAGGGCAAATATCAAATGTTGTGAATGGCACAGCTTCCTATTGATGCTTGTGCTGGGGACTGGAGGAGAAAGATGCCAGCAAATCTCAAATTTGGACAACTGCACAGTTGTATTGAATCCATGATAGTAATCTAACAGATTCTATACACACCAGACTTTTCAAAATGACAGAGCAAAAACTTTTTAAGACCACAGACTAATAATAATGCTTGGTTAAAGCATATAGCACAATCTACCTGGGACTTCAGCCTTGAGAGATTTCTTTTAGAGCTCACTTTGCCTTTCACATACTTCCTAGTGAGTGAGACTAGTTTTAACTTATATTTTGTGAGGCAAGTCATATTCAAATACTTCAATATGTGGACCAGATTAGGAGAAAGTTGGTCTATTTCTCATGAAGACTATAGAGGAAAATGTGGGTCGGAGGGTACAAAATTGCATTTATGTGGGATAAAATCTAGAGAGATAATGTACATGATAATGAGTATAGTTAATTATATGTTGGTAATTTTCCAAAAAAGTAGCTACTTAGGTACTCTTAACACCAGAAGAAAAGGGAATGTAAGTGATGACATGACGGGATGTTAATTTGCTTTACTACAGCAATCATATCACTGTGTATATCAAGATAAGTATATAAATACACCATGTTATATATGTTAAATGTATAAAATATAAAAATTAGAAAAAGGCTGTAGAAAATTATATTTAAGGTTTTGAAATTCTGAACTAAAGATGGAGCTGCCAGCCTTTGTCTTCTCTCACCATCCTGTCCACATTTAAATAGGTGTATCACAAATGCTCAAACGAAAGTAATACACCTGAATAAGTACCATAGAAACCATAGTGTTACCGCTTACTTTTTGGTTACAAATCCTACCAAAATGAAATATCAAATCTTAACTTTTAGTTTTACATATTTTTTTTTTTGGTACCGGGGATTGAACTCAGGACCTTGCGCTTGCAAGGCAGGCAGCGGAACTACGGAGCTAAATCCCTGGCCCTGTTATACATATTTTTATTTATATGCTCAAATCACAATAAACAATGAAGAAACCTGAGAATTCACTTTAAAACACATATATTAATCATAATATAAGAAAAAAGCAAATAGAGATCTTAAAACCCATGAAAAAGAATATTGATTTGCAAATTCAAATTAGCTAAATTTAAACCTTCTAACCGAGCAAAAAAATATTCATCTGGGGAAACAGGAGAATTGATTAGAATGTTGAGTTGCTATAATTATAAGCAGGTAAGGATTTGAAATATAAAATACCTAGGGGATGAGCCAAGAAAACACTATCATTATTACAAAATTGATCTCTTAAAAGCAAAAGTGTCAAGCCATAAAACATGGTTTCACTGACCCAGGAGAGCATTCTGAGCTAATAGTCTAGGTTATTTTCTTGACCGTGTCCTGGTGTCCTTACACATAGTATTGAGATTCACTGGGGTCTTGTCTTCTCCATCTAAAAAATGAGGAAAGTAAATGAGCTCACAGTAGTCCAAGCTTCTTTTAGGAAATAATACTGCAGTTTGTTCTGTGGGAAAGGTTATAAGCACACATGCCCCCAGAGAGACAATGCTGCTGTCTTTTGCTTTCCAACAGAACTGTGAAAGTTAAGACAAATCCCCCTAAACATCCCCTGCATTTATTTTTGTTCGGTTTTTGTGCTTCCTCAGCTCTGATTGCTCTTTTGAGAGAAGGAGAAAGCCTGGAGGATTTGATGAAGCTCTCACCGGAAGAGCTCCTGCTGAGATGGGCTAATTACCACTTGGAAAATGCAGGCTGCAACAAAATCAGCAACTTCAGCACTGACATCAAGGTAGGAGGAGTGTCCTTTGCACATGACTAACTGGGAGGAAAGGGGAATTTGGTGTCAGAGAAAACTCAGATACTGAGCTTTCTGTCTTCAGAAGGTCTGTGGTTAGTGTGGTCCTGTTTTGGAGCTGCTTGCTGTCCTCAAAGATTTGTCTGCAGCTCTAGTTCTGGGTCACACCATCTGCCCAGGGTCTTAGTGTAGCATCAAAGGGAGGAGTCTGGCTTGAGGTTTGATTATCAGGGTGAGACAGAGCAACGACAAGAGTAAGACAGCTTAAAGGAGAGCATCTGATGGGATAGGAATTCTTTTTTAAAAATTGAGTGAGAATAACTCCTCTAATTACACTAATAGTAGCAACCACAGTGTCTACATGCCAGGCATTGATCTCATTGCATTATACATGCATTGATTGGTTTAATCCTCACAAGATGCCCTGAAGTAAGGATTATTAGTCTCCTGTTTTACAAAGAAACTGAGGTAAAGAGTTCCACAAGGGCAGAAGCTATGGTCTTCACGTTTGAGAAAGGTTCCACGCCCAAGTGAGAGGAAACAGCTCTTGGCGTTGGTAACAGATGAACTAACATAAAAAGCTGAAGGAACAGTTCAGGAGAGTCCAAAAACAGTCTCCATCGGAACCCACATGAGATGCTGGAACATAACCTGAGGGAAATATTTCACTCCCTCCTTTCTCAAAAGTTAATAGTGGGGCCGGGGATTTAGCTCCATGCTTCCGGCGCCTGCCTCGAAAGCTCAAGGTCCCGAGTTCGATCTCCGGTACCAAAAAAAAAAATAAAGTTAATGGAAACCTTCTCCAAAGAGAGAAAGGCAGAGGAAAGATCATGTGACCTGCCAAGAATCCACCTGTGAGTAACAGCTTTTTGCTGCTGGACAAGGTGGACTCGTTGGTGTCTAGACCTCAGGTCCTCCAGGCACAGTGACAGTTAGAGGAAAGCTTCTAAGTGGAGAGTCTCTCTGTTCCTTATGATCTAAGCTAAATCCATTTTTCTATCCATACAACTTTGAATGCTTATCAACATTTTTCTAGCAGCACCAACCAAAATGGGGTTTCTCAAGGGCTGGACCTCATCCCTCTCTGGGCTCAGCAGTTAAATTCTGCAATTGCTGTAAAACTTTTCAGCCAGAATTAGGATACATGATCTTAGCTGTCTTTCTATGATTTACCTGCCTTTCTGTCACTAAAAGCCTGTGTTCTTTAGATTAACCATTTTGGACATTGAGAAGTACAATATCTGTCTGAGACAGGACCAGGCAAGCTGGGCGCTTGCACAGTTGACTGCGCCTGTCCTCACGGAGCATAGGAGGGATGTGCTATAATGTGTATCTGAGCAGCCAGTACCTTGGAGTATTCTTCAAGTCACATAGAATCTAAGAAAATGTGAGGCCTCAATACCTATATCCAATCTGTTATAACTAAACTTAAACATTTTTCTAGTTTCTAGAGGAACATTAAATAAACCTGTCATTGTATTTTTTTCATTTACGAAGACTGTTTGTTAAAGCTTCAGCCTCCAGTATTTGAAGTCTTTTATTTTTCTTTTGCTGATTGTGCATGTAAATGTGTTTTTAAACTCTGCTTTAAACTTCTGCTTCCTTTTTCTGTCACTTTTTTTTAAAATTAAACCTTAGCTGGCTGACTTCTACAGCAATATAAAGGTATATATATATTTTCCTGTATACAATTAAATACGTAAGTTGTTTTTCTCCCATAAAGATAACACAATAATATCTGCTTCTTTGGGTTGCCTTTTATGTGTCTTGTATTTTCAATTGTTAAACTCTTTTTAAAGGAAAAAGCAAATAAAGTATGCAACCAAACAAGTAGAACTTCCAAATTAGTGAATGCTTCTAGCTTTGTTAATTAAGTTACATTCCTAAATGACAATGGAATAAGAAATAAAATATTTGTTTGGGGGAAATTATTGTCATGCTAAGTACTTAATTAGCCATGCTGTTTTGCAATTGTCATTTCTTAATTTTTCACAGGACTCAAAAGCTTATTACCACCTACTTGAGCAGGTGGCCCCTAAAGGAGATGAAGAAGGTATCCCTGCCGTGGTTATTGACATGTCAGGACTAAGGGTAAGGACACATCCCTGGGTGTGGTTAGAGAACACAGGACACTGCCCTTGTGTTGGTTGTTCCATTGTTCTATATGACCTTACTCTGGAGTTCTACTTAAATCCTGGTGAAACTATTTAAAAATCTCTTAAGAGTTTTTATGATAATTGTGGAAAAATGAATCTGGAAACAAACAAATGCTAATTCAGTGCCATCTGCCATGCTAGGCACTTATTATATCCCATCCTTTCAACACCAACCAGATCTGAATATTAAAACTTCAAGTTTTTAAAAATTTGGTTTTATTTTATTTTTAATTGATATACAATAACTAGGCAAATGTTTGGAATACAGTGTAACATTTTGATATATATATCCATTGGGTAACTGTCAAATCAAGAGCATATTTTTCAGTTTTGCCAACATATTTGACGTTGATCTTGAGAATTTGCCTTGTCAGTTTTTCTGCTTCTGCTTCATTTATTTAACATCATTGGAATTAAACCCAAGGATGTAATATTGAGAAATGAGAAAGTTAAAATAAATGAGAAGTAAGGGTCATCAAATGTATAATGTAGGGCCAGGGATTTAGCTCAGTGGCACCACACTTGCCTCGCAAGTGCAAGGTCCTGAGTTCAATCCCCAGTACCAAAAAAAAAAGTATAATGTATAGTATTATCTACTAAAGCATCAACTCAAGAAATAATTCTAGTTTAAAATTCTATTTTAGACCTTACAAACAGTGGGCCATATTTCAACAAAATTTTAGTCTTCTCATAAGATTCTGCTTACAAATGATTGGAGATTCTCTGGAATCATTAGAATATGTGGAGTGGTTCTCAACCTGAAGGCTGAAAAAGCCAAATTGATATTATATGTTGATATTATACATCAGCAACAATATGTAGGTTAACTGACTGATGTTTATTTTGTCTGCCTTGCAAGTATACCAGTGCAGTATATGAAAAGTGATTATACTAATCAGATACTGACAGTTCTTATTGAAGTTTGTATATTTTATGAATTAGAAATAGGAATATAAATTATTAAACTTTTTGATAGACAAAAATTCATGAAGTCTGTGCAAGAAAATAAGAAGGAAGCTTGATGGCTAAAATAATTAAGATCAATGTAAATGAAAAGATTGGGGAATTTACTGAATTTCTTTAAAAACAGGGCAACCAACCAACCATTCATCTGAAATGGTTCTGGATAGAGATGAGAAGTCTCAATTACCTGACTTCTGAGATTCCTCTTACTTGTGACTGTCCGTTCTTGTGCAAGCTCACATAAGTTCTTATTTGCTGTTATTAAGTGTCTACCTGAGATAAACCCCAAGGGTATCAGTGAGATTTTCCTTTTCCTTTTCCTTTTCACATGATACATATTCATGTTGTGCCTGGAACCTTGGCCCAGCCTGAACACATCCTTTTTCATTGCAGGAGAAAGATGACATCCAGAGGGCAGAATGCATGTTGCAGCAGGCAGAGAGGCTGGGCTGCCGACAGTTTGTCACAGCCACAGATGTTGTCCGGGGTAACCCCAAGCTGAACTTGGCTTTCATTGCCAACCTCTTTAACAAATACCCTGCCCTGCACAAACCAGAGAACCAAGACATCGACTGGGGGGCGCTCGAAGGTAACAGTAAAGCAGTTGCTTAAGATGTTTGGAAAAGTACTCACAATTCTAATTCAATGCCCATTCAAAATCTCCTCCTGAGCAAAGCCAAACCCCTCATACATGCAAACAAGCCTATCAATTCTCTGATATACAACAAAGAGAAATAAATAAGAAGTCAATTACAGCAAAGCAAGAATAATCAAATATAATTATATCACGTATATAGGCTTCATCCATTATCAGAATTTAAATGTTTTAGAGAAGACAGTGCATTTAATTATTAGATGAAATAAAACCTGAGCTCTAAAACCCTAGTTTATGAACTTAATAGACTCGGTTAATTTCTAGAGGTGATAAATGGCCACCATTCACTACGTAAAGATGATATTTAATTTATACTAGAATATGAGGTTTTCCTTTTTCTCTAGTTTCTTTGATTTGGATTCTTAGAGACATAGAAAAATATTCTGAGGCAGAATCCTGACAGTTGTATTTTGTGGGTTAATATCCTAAGATTGGACAAAGAGCATATAGTTGTAGTCAGTTTCTTCCAGCCAAAAGTGCCAGAAATGTTTACGTAGCTTTTTTTCTCATATACTAATTGAAACAAAAAATAGTCAAAATTAATACTAAATGAATATTACAAAAGCAAGGAAATCTAGGTTTAAATATTGGTTGATTCTTTTCCAAAATATATTACTCTAGTTGGAAATGCAGTATCAATCTGTCCCAAGGCTGCTGCATTTACATCGTTTGACAAACCATGGTCAGGGTTCTATGTATTTTGTTGATCTCAAATGTATGTATCAAGTCTACTCATCACCATTTCCAGCTGCCCTTTAGGACATTGAAGTTTGGGGCCTTAGCTGTCCCCCATCCCCCCATTGCTTTTCTATGCCACCTTTCATTGCATCTGCTCCCCTTTAGAAATTCTCCATTTCCATTAATAACATTTGTTTTTCTTTAGTCATCAGAACTGAAGACCTTGGGTTCTACTCTGTCTTCCTCTCCTTCACCCTTTAATCTATTAAATCAACAAATATTGAAACTTCTTCATTTGGAATTTCTTCTAGATTGTTATTTTCACTTTTTCTGTTCTTCTGGATTCAGATTACCTCCTACACCAATGATTTTAATAGGTGTCAGAGGCCTGTTCCTTCATTTATCAAACACTTGAATGTCCTCCACATGCTAGTTCCAAACACTATCGCCTCTGCATGTTTAATTTAAATGCCTATCACCTTTCAGTAGGGCCAGGGATTTTGCTCAGTGGTTTCAGTGCCTGCTTCGAAAGCACAAGGTCCCAAGTTCAGTCCCCAGTACCAAAAAAACCAAAAACAAACAAACAAACAAACCCCCAAAACCTTTCAGTATCTGCACAGTGCTGCCAGGCACATCCCAATATAGTTTTCATTATATATCTGCCTTGCTCAAGAATTTACTATAGTAATAAATAAAGAATCCATGATGGTGAACATTGTCTAATAGATCAAGCCAAACCTGCTACCAGCATTCAAAGATCCCCAACCCTGGTTCCAGCCTCTAGACAGCCTTATCTCTGCACACTCTGATATACTGTTCCCCGCCTCACCAGTTCCTGGTGTTCTTAGTAGAGACTTGCCTGTTGCTCCTTTTGTGTTTAAATTTACACCAAATCCTCTACTCTTTCCTCATTAATATCTAGCTTTAATTATCCCTGGAAGTGAAGCTCAAATGCCACCTCTCCAAATTTAGTCCATACTACTTTTTCCTTTGTCTCAACTTCAGTAGCAAATATATCTGTCTCCTACTGACTATTTTTCTAGATTCTATGGTCTTTGTCTGATGCTCAAGAGTCATTTTTCTGGCAAAAATATCAGCCTTTGAGGCCAACTCTAACCTCTGCAAAGGATCTTTAATATACTAATAAATGATACGGAAATACTTATTGAATTGTTGAGGCAAGAGGGGAATTAACACAGCATAGCAACCCTCATCCACATCCAGCAGGGTCTGTTTTATTATTTTCATTTTACTTTCAGTTTTTATTGCAGTCTCTTGTGTTGAAATTAGATAATAAAAATGGCCTGTTTTCTACAAGTCTGAAAGATAACCAGTCTTCATTAAACTAGGTGAGACAAGGGAAGAACGGACATTCAGGAACTGGATGAATTCGCTGGGTGTTAACCCTCGAGTGAATCATTTGTACAGGTAAGAACAGTCATAAATTCACCCATGGTGTGAGACATAGAGACCTTGAAGATCATAGAATTTAAGATACTACGATGGTATGCACCCTTCTCTCAAAATGTGTGTCCCTTGATGAGGGCTAAAGGTGTGGGATGTTCGCCTGGGAAACTTCCCTCCATGTAGCAACCTCACTGTGTTTAATTCAAAAGTAAGACCTCAGCAAAATGACAAATTTACTCTATGTGCTAAGCCTATAATCTTCTTGCTAGCAGGCAAAAAATGAGTTTTAAATTTACAATTAAGTGTCTTCTGTGCTATTTGTGAAAGCCAAGCTTCTTTTCCTGGAGGCAGCTCATCACACCTAGGGAAAGTTCCCCAATTTCTCTGCATCGCAATTTCTTTTTCTCTAAAGATGGAATGACTCCTATCAATTTTGCAAGGTTATTGTGATTGTTGTCAGAGCTAATATATAAGGAAGTGCTGGCCCCCTGTAGGCCCTGAATAAAATATTGGATATCTGAACATTCTTTTGTTTGTTTTGTTTAGTGATTTATCAGATGCCCTGGTCATCTTCCAGCTCTATGAAAAGATTAAAGTCCCTGTTGACTGGAACAGAGTAAACAAACCGCCATACCCCAAACTTGGGGGCAATATGAAGAAGGTAAACAAAGACTGTTTTGTTATTCTAAGAGGGAGGTGATGTCATAGACTGCAAGAGATTTTGTGAATACTTTATCAGGCAGTTAAATTTAGATAAGCAGTGTTTATCCAGGGATTAAATTATAGTACAGCAGTCAAGAAACCTGAATAGTTTATTAAAGTGAGTCCATTATTTCTTATTTATAATTCTGTGTTGGATGTCTTTAAACACTATCATGTAAAAATTCTAATTAAGATAATTAGAGCAAGCAGAGCCACAGGGTCCCCCCCCCCCCCCCGCAGGATCCTCATTCTAATTTTCTAAAGAATTGGAGCTTTGTACTGACAGCTTGACTGGTACAAATAGTTTGCCTATTGTCAACACAGTGGGAACATTGTTTTGCAACAACAGGGTTGGCACAGCCATTTGTCACTATTTCTCATCTGTGTGACCTTTAATGATCTATGAGTAGCCACAGGAATATCTGACTTACATGTTCATCCACTGTGTATGTGAGATGAAGAATCCAAATTCTCCATGCCTATCTCCATGAAGTCAGCTCTTTTAGAAATGTTACAGACAGGTAACTGAGGATTATTGTCTATTTATGTAATGTGTGTAGCTAAGAAAATATTCATAATAATGGATTCATTCTAATTTTGCACTTAAGAGTACACTATGAGTATTTTGGATGGAAGTAAGGAATTTTATTTAAGGAAACATGGAAAATCCTTTAACTAATTTAGAATCCCAGAATTGCAGAACCAGTTGAGACTTGAGAATCATTCAATCTGACTTTGTTTTTTTTCAGTTTTATCTTTATTTTTTTGTTAATTTATTTGGTATTTATCATAAGCAAAGTGATGACATTAAATTATTTTCCTTCTTGCTCTTTAATAGCTTGAGAATTGCAATTATGCAGTGGAACTGGGGAAGAATCAAGCTAAGTTTTCGCTAGTTGGCATTGGTGGACAAGATCTCAATGAAGGAAACCACACTCTAACGTTGGCTTTGATCTGGCAGCTAATGAGAAGGTAGTACAACTCATGAGAATGACTTTTTATCGACTGGCTTACTTGCCTAGAAATATACTATCAAATTTTTAGGAATGTGATTAAATTAAACCACCATACCCCAAATTTGTTTTAGGCTAAACTTACTAACAAAGAAGTCCTTTTTGTTTTCCTATTATTTTTTTTTTCCTTTAAGTTCTATTATTTTGTTTCTGGTATTTTACAAATGTGTCATGAGGTCCATACACATCTTAGATTTTTGTTTCATCTTAATGAATCATACCATCATTACAGAGTGACGCTCTTTATGGCTGATGATATTCTTTTCTCTGAAATTTACACTTTTGTATCAATTAGCTACTACTGTTTAGTTTTGATTGGTGGTTAGCATGGCATATCTTTTTCTATTCTTTAACTGATTTGTGTAAGTAGCAGTTATCTTTAAAATGGCTTGAAGAATAATGGGAAATGATTGTATATTTTCCTATATATTTTACCATTTCTGGTGTTCTTCCTTCCATTGTATAGATTAAGATTTATATCTGGTGTCACACTCTACCCAAAATATTTCATATATTACACATTTTTTGATGATGAATTCTTTCAGCTTCTATATATCAGAAAGATTCTTTCATTTTTATTTTTGTATAGAATTCTAGGATGGTAGTTTTTTTGTTTGTTTTTTGTTTTTTTAGAAATGGTTTTCACTCTCTTCTTGACTGGATTGTTTCCAACAAAACCTATTGTCACTCTTTTTGTTCTTCTGTGTAATGCTACTTTTTTTCTCTGGATGCTTTTAAGATTTCTCTTTACCACTGACTTTAAGCAGTTTGATTATCATGTAATTGTAGTTTCTTGTACTTGAGGTTTGTTGAATTTATTGGATCTGGGGGTTTAAACTTTGTCAAATGTGAAAAACTTCTGGCATTCCTTTCTTCAAATGTATCTTCTGTACCCACCCAGTCCTGTTTTTGAGGATACCACGTCTATGTATATATGGTCATTTGAACTTGTCCCTGAATTTACTCATGCTCTATTTATTTACTTCCTCTATGTTTCATTTTTCTCTCGTTTCATTTTGTATATGTATCGCTATATCTTTAGTTCACTAATATCTCTCTCTCCCCTATATGTTTTATGTCCTCTTAACCCTATCCAGTGTATATGTTATCCCTATAATTTCCATGTCTATAAATTTTATCTGAGTCTTTTTCATATCTCTTCTTTCCTCCACCTTCTTGAACATATAAAATATAGTTGTAATAATTGTTATTTCTTCTTCTGTTTCTACTGAATTTTTATCTTCAATATGTCATATTTTCTGACTTTCACATGCTGCTTTTTAAATGCCAGACGTTGTAAACTTTTCCCTGCTGTATAACGGATATTTCTATATTCCCTTCAGTATTCTTGAATTTTGTCTGGGACAGTTAGATTACTTAAATCTACTTTAATCCTTTGAGTTTAATTAGTCTAGAGTTCATTTTGTTTCTTACTATTGAAATCATATCTTCTGAGTACTTTGCAAGATGTTCCATGTATTATGAAATTTTTCCACTCGAAATGGTGGGAACCAAATAATTTCTAGCCCAGTGTGAACTCCAAGGATTGTTATTTCTGATAACAACCTGCTTATTTCTGATGTTTTGTCTCATAGCCTCCAGTAGCTTATTCATATGCATACATTAAGCAGGAATCAGCTAAAAACTTGAAGAAAACCTACTGAAGATCTCTGGGGATTTCTTTCCAGATGACTCTCTTGTCTCCATGTAGTTCTCTCCTCTCCATTATTCTCTTCTCTGAATTTTAGGCAACTTGGCTTCCATGAATTCTCAACCCTGTCATCTCAACTCAGGGGGATGGCTATGCCCTCTTTGGGTTTTCTCTCCCTGCACTGCAGCCTGGAAACTCTTTGTATGCTGGGACAATCTCAGAGGTCACCGTCCTTATTTTCCTTCTTTCAGGGACCATTGTGCTGTGCTTCCTGTTGTCCAGAGTCCAAATAATTTTGTTTTGTATGCTTTTCATTGTGTATTAGGGGTTTAAATCCTGTTCCTCTTAGTGCATCATGCCCAGAAGCACAAGTCTTTTTAATACAGAAGCTTAATGTTCTCTATTTAAAAACATCTCTATTAAAGAATTTTCATAGAGATAACTGTGACAGAGAACTTTAGATACCTTTTGGAGCTAAATATAAGCTTGATTAATGTGAGGACTACTGGTGATACTAGTTAATAAATGATAAAATATAGTAAGATATGCAAATAGAAAAGAGATTATAAGAAGAATAATTTTGGTATTAAATCATGAGCCTAGGAAGGATTTTAAACTACTGTAAGTATAAAAGTTTACTTTTAAATGCTTTACTCTTTCCCTCTATACCAATACCTTTGAATAGGCAGAAATCTAACATCCTCCAAATAGAGCCTGTTAGTGTGACTATATTTTTCTACCTGGAAGGAAGCCTTCCAAACTACATGTCATATTACATTTTGTCTAACAAAGTCATAACAAAGGCAAGGTTTGTAGTCCCTTTAAAGCACTTTAGCTTTAGTTCCACTGTCTGCAGATTCCAGTTTTTATGATTGGTTCTTGAGGTAATTATAATTATGCCAGTGTTTCCAGGTGGTGTAGGATAATTAGCAGTGATCACAATAGATTTCAGTACCTGACTCACGTTTGCTTTACCAAATATAGAGCTTTTCTACCCATCTTAAAACTGAGGTTTCCTTAATAATGGAAGGCAGATGTGTAAAGTCCCCTGGACAGAAGGCTCTAGAGCTAAGGAAATTCAGCTCTGTCTTCTGTTTTACAACTTGTATCTAGAGCATCACTGAGAGATCCTAAGAGCCATTCTTATATTTCCAGAAACTATCTTCATTTTCTTTGACATGTTTTGTGAATTATAATTAGAAGGCCTTTTGGTACTAATTCCTTTAAAAATCAAAGTGAATGTCCTTTTAGTTATGACCGTTAAATTCACTCATGGGTTACAATACAAAATAGTCTTTAATATATTCTATTTTAATGATAAAAAGTTCAGACCCACTCTATTCTGTTTTAAATTTCATAATATCTAAGAATCACCTTGTAACTTGATCCTTGTTCTGGAAGTTTTATAAAAAATGTGGCCCAGGGGCTGGGGATTTAGCTCAGTGATTCTGCTGCCTGCCTCGCAAGCACAAGGTCACAAATTCGATCCCTGGTACCAAAAAAAAAAAAAATGTGGCCCAAAGCCCTACTTGAAAGCTGGTATATATATGATAAGGTCTAGTTTGCTGTTCCGGTCTTTACCTGATTAATAAATCTTATTTTTCATGAATGTTTACATAAAAATTGTACATGTAAGAGAAATGCAGAAATGCATTACTGTTGAAGGAGAAGAAATGACTGGTAATTATGTAAATAGCTCCAGAAGGGATTTTTTTTCATTTCTTTCTTTTTTCTTTTCTCTGCATTCCAAATATTAATAGACCTATTAAATTTGCATCAGTTGTAGTGGAATTTATTTCACTGGACTGCAGCGATGTGTTAATTTGGTCATTTATCTGGACAATAAATGGCATCCCTCCCCGCCAAGAACAAAGGAGAGATGTATGCTTAAGCCTTCCTTTTCCCTTCATTTCATGGAAATTGTTCTCAGATTGGACAGCTGGCAAATAGTGTGTGTGTGTATAAATTTGGAGACAAAAGCCTGAAACAAGTAGGCTGTCGGCAGATGGCAATAATTGTTAGAGACAAGCAAATGAACAGAATCTGAGGCAGGCAAACGAGCTAACTCCCTGCAGTCACATGAGCTATGAATGGTGAAATCCTTGACAAACAAAACACTGAGGTTTGTTCCTCTGTGCCAAATGTCAAATAAAACAAGTGTTAGAAGGCAAGAAAGCAAGTAGGTAATAATCACACTCTCCCTGGCCCTTCACATCCACACCTCATCAATCCTCTTTTGTTGAATGAGGGATGGGCTAGAGCTGGGGCACATGATGCTATTTCATTTTGACAAAGGGCTTTTCAGCACAGCACATTTTGCAAGCACCCGTTATATTGAGATATAGACAGCAGGATTCTACATAAGAGCATGGTTGCCCCCAGACACATTTAATAATAAGGGTTAAATAACTCACAAGGAAAAACCTAGGTAGACACAGTCCAAAATAGTTTTGTTTTACCTTACAAATCTAGATGAATAGTTGTTTAGTGCACTCTGTAGAATTGAGACTCTAGCCTAGTTCTATTCTTTCTTCACTTTATTTTTTATTACATTTACAAGTGAGTGTGTACTTCCATTTTAAATCTCTGTCTCACTAGAGGTGACAGCAAGACTGTTTTGTGCTCACCAAAATTCTGTGCCACATGAGGGACTGTTCTTAAAACCCAGAAGGCAATAAGCTGCCTCCAGAATATTCAATACTCCAGTCGGGATCTCTCTTCCTAGGTGGCTTTTTATTTTTACAGACATACTTATATATAAAGGTGGGATTCTTCTCTGTACCATTTACTTTCTAAATTCAAGAGATGGGTGGAAAACTGACTTCAGTTTCCTTGGGTGTGACAGCAAAGTAGAGCTGGAACTCCTGATGAAGTAAGCTGCAAGAAGATTCCATTTGGCTTATACCATTGGGTTATATATATAGAAAACCTAATGAAGCAGGCACTGACCTGCCGTTTCTTCCTGAGCAGTTCATTGAGCTGAAATTCTTAAATGTTATGCTAACTGCTAATAATTTAATGCATATGCTATCAGGAAACCAGAGGCCAATTATGCCATAAAACATAATCTTTATGAACAAACCAAAGGCAGATCTTTTTCAAACTAGGAATAGTTTTTGAATCTACCTGGGATTTTTATCTTGTATGCTTATTACTCCTTAGCATTTTGGTTCAATCTTGTAGCCCAAGCTAAGCATTTTCTATACTCATTGTTGTCTTGTTTGCCCTGGGAGAAAGTCATTCTATTTCTTTCACCCACCATCATATCCCTGCATTTACTAGATGCTCTGCTAACCCTGGAAAACACC